TAATGTGCTGTATCTTCGCACTCTCGCTCATGGAAGCATCGACGCGCTGGCAGAGATCAATCACATCTTCTATATATGATGTGAAAGTTTCACCTCGCTCCTGTGCCCGTGTGCGCAGACGTTGTTCGGCGCGTAGCTTCCGTAAGGCAGGACGACCAAAAACGGCACGTATTGCCTCCTTGAAGGCGGACCAATTCGCGAACTCGGTTTCGTGGTTCGTATACCACAGCTTGGCCACGTCGGTGAGATAAAAATTGACAGCGCCTAACTTAGCAGCGTCATCCCACCTGTTGGGTCCACTGACTTTCTCGTATGACGACAGCCAGTCCTCGACGTCCTGGTCTTCGGTGCCGGCAAAGATCGGGGGGTCTCGCTGATGAACCGGGCCGGGGCAAGCAGCGGCCGCGAGAGGTATTGTTTGCTGGGCAGCGTCAACTTGCATGGTCGACGGCAGGGTGCGAGATCGGAGTTCCAGGTTGTAGGCGATGTGGTTACCCAGCACGATCCACCAAATGTAAAGAGGTTTATTGGGCGAACCAAACGGGCAGGTGGGAGATTGGAGATAGCGACAGGACGAGGAAGATGGAGGAGCTCGAGCGCCGATCTCGTGGTGCCTTACTCTGCGATGATGCTTGCTGTTCCCTTTTGTTGTCATCATTCCTTCATTATACCCGTAACAATATGAGACCCAACTGAGTCGTTCGCCCGAATGGGCCCTAACTTCTCAAAATGATACACACTGGAAGGTTTTAACAAAAGCAAATCGTCGAAGTGCAAGGAAGAAGGCGCCGATATGCCGTAGTGGGGCACCACCTTAGGTTGAAGAACCGGGCGCGAAGTGTCGTGATCCACGCCGTTATTCGTGTATCAGTTGTTGCCCAACGCTCTCTGCGTTCATAGGCCTCCTGCAAAACACTTTCATTGTGGTGGAGGTGCTGAGTATTTATCCCAGTACCTCTTACAAATATTTGCGGATTACACCAAGGCGTTCACACATCACAAATTACAAGTTATTTTTCAAAAGTTTGAATTATACAAAATAAGGATTCATGTCTTGCTTATCGTAATCATATTTGTTGGAGTCAACTCAGTGCATTCAAACTGATAAAATTAAGTCTCGTTAACACCAAGTTGTTTCTATTGTGCCTCAAGGAAGTTTGGGCAACTACTTTTCATCATCTACATGATTGACAACAACACCATTAAAGCTTCCCCATTTAAAATATGCGCAGATGAGGCAGGTAGACTTATTTCAAGTGAGATTGCTGATGACGTAATAACTGAGGTGAATAACATATTGCAAGAACCAGTAAAATGGTCTGAAGCGGATGTGCTTTTTGTCAATTGTCAAAGTCGCAAGCTAGATAGTATATCTTTGTCAATCCTCGGAGCAATCCTTTTACGGTCATTGCCAATAATTTGTATCGTTCAGGTACTGTTAGAACAGTGTCATATTGTAGGCCCTTATATACTTGACATATTTTGTATTGCGAACTGTTTATATGTCTGAAGTAAGAAAAATTTAACATGAAAATTTTAAATCTCTGTCAGTACACCTCTCAGAAAATATGCAGTAAGACTACAATGTTAACCATGGTCTCGATTTCGCTTCAGTGGTCTTCACCTGCACCACACAATCATACTGCCAAAAAAAGTCACAGCTTTGCCGTAAAGGCGAAACAATGAACGTGATAGCAACACATTGGAAGGTCATGTGCAGAATGGCAAGCAGATTGAAACGTGTACCGCGTATCGCATTTCTGACGCATCATTGACGCCAGTAACGGGCTCACAAGTACAGATGAACGCAAACAAGAGTCTTAGTTGTTAGTTCGCTGTGTCTGAAAAGCGCGCCTTTTTGCAAACGGAGGCTGTGCAACGATTGAAGTGACCTTGTGCGCCCCGTAACTGCAAAAGAATCGTTCCAGTCAAGCCCAACGCCAGCCAAGGTCTATAATCCTCCCCACCGAGAAATAAGTGCGCGCGAGATATCGTCCACTCCCCTCCTCTCCGCGGACCAAAGTACGCGTGAGAGATGAGAGCCACCGAGCACTCCTTGCAACATCTTGTGGATAATTCTGAAAACTCGATAGTCTCCCCGCGAGACGCCAGCCAACAGTGGTAAGGGGCAGATATAAATAGCATGCCGTTTGAATGTTCAAAGAGGTACCCCTCTGTGGTTCAGTGGTTAGCACCTCACAATCGCGACGCGGAGGTCCCACGTTTGATTCCCAGCATCGGAATCTTTTCTCAATTTTTTCCTTTCCTGGGTTTTCATATACATAGATACGCGTACATATACGGTGCATGGCATTGATGCCCACGTTGATGCCAACGCCGACGCCGGTAGTGAAATTCAGCCTAGAGTGCCCAAAGAATTCCTATCGCAATACAATTAAAATGATGCGGTACTATTTCTTTCTCGTTCATACATAAAGACCTACACTTTTATAAGCCATGCCACTAAAACAAATCTACAAGATGATTAAGCAAGAAATAGATTAGCATCTTAAAATGAATTGACAAGAAACAGGCGAAAAAAACAAGAAACAATCAACAATCATTTTTTGAGGGGTTGGCTCTCTTACAGCGATAAGAAACATTGTGAGCATATAAAGTTCTGTGTATTGTGCGTGTCAGTGCACGTTAAAAAACACCAGAAGGTCGAAATTTCCACAGCCCTACGCTAGACGCCTCTCATTAATAAATCGCGGTGTCGGGGCGTGAAACTCAACGTATCATTATAAACAATTTAACGAATTGATCAAAAATCAGAATAATGCTAACAAAAACTAAAAAACAATTGCTTTTTATGAAATCTTTGAGATAATGAATCAGTTTGCCCGCGAGCAAAATATGGGGTTTGCTTAAGCTACTGTCACCTGGCGTCACCGTACGCACTGAATTAGATTAGGTCTAAAGAAGGATGAAGAATATAATCATCTAGGTATTTTTACGACGTCTGACTTTGGTTGAAATGTACAAAATTTGCGCACTATGAACCAGGTAATATGATCGCTGTGAATTATGCGCGGTACTTTCAGTCAGTTACAGAAAAAAGTGAAAGAGCAGCTGTGTTTTACATTTCTTCGCTGCATTACGGTTGCGTTTGTCGGAGTCCGCACACAGCTGTTCTCACAGAGCAGCTGGAAAAGGTTCTCATTAAGGTGGTACAGCTTGCACGCGTAGGATCACACTTGTCTGGGACGCTCTTGTTGGCCGCGACTTCTAAGTGAAGGCTAAGTGAAGGCTAAGTGAAGGCTAAGTGCTAAGTGAAGTTAGGCTAAGTGAAGTTACTATAGCATTATCTTTATTGTAATACGCATAGTGCACTTTTTTTGTGTTTAACTTCATGCCCCAGCGGATGCACATGGCCCCAATAGCCTGTAGCTTTTGTTGTGACAGTACATGATTATTCGGAGAACAATGTTTTAAATACAACGCAGTCATCTGCAAACAGTCCAATGCACGCACCATTAGTATTCAGGTCTACTGAATCATTATTTTAAACTAAAATAACAAAGGTCGCAAAACCTTGCCCTGTGCCGTTCCAGAAGTCACACACAACAGTTTAGAGATTTGACCCGAAACTTCTACAAACTGCTACCGGTCCGGAAGGTAGGCACCAATACATTTAATGGTATTTGACGAAACTCCCAAATATTTAGCTTTCGTAATAACTTCTCATGAGGCACTTTATTGAATTCCTTCGAAAAGCCTAGAAACAAGGCATTCAGCTGTCCAGCCATATCAAGGATGTGTGAGGAGCCATGTACTGCTGTCACAAGCTGTGTAACCGTTGACAAGCTCTTTCTAAAACCTTGCTGAAATGGCGTTAAGATATTGTAATTTTCTAAAAAAATGATAAGGTGCTTTGAAAGTACATACTCCAACAACTTAAAACATCTATTGGTAATAGATATCAGATGATAGTTATTCAGAGATAAACGATCAACATTTTTTGTGAATGGGAGTGATGCGTGCTAAACGCCAGTCGTAAAGAATTTAACCTTTGGCAGTTGACCAAAAAAACAAATCAATCAAAAAATGAGATACCTGCTATGCGTACCGATGTCAGAAAGCGTTGGGGACACCATTCGACCTAGACGGTATTTTTTTTTGTTTAACATTAGGTTGTATAGAAACCACGCCTTCATGCGACACTTTTGAATCATCATCTAAACTTGAATCAGTGCTCTCAGGTGCATAATTATCGTCTCTGGAAAAAACACTGTGAAAGTAACGATTAAAACCACCTGATATCTCTCGAGTATCAGTGGATTTCTCCTCACCAATTTTTATTTCTGAACCATCCTATCTACTTTCTTTTCAAAACCACCAGAACCTTTGGCTGTCGCAATTAATAAACTGGAAAAGACAGTTCTTGAAGTGAGCATTGCGAGACTCTCGCAGATGAATAGAAGATTTTGCTACAGTTCAAGATCTATACAGCATCGCAACAGCAAATATGTCGCTCACAATTTCTGTAGGTGTAGTGAGCTTAGTAGATCTTCTGCTGACTATAATTTTTAAACCACTATGCCGAGCCTCAACCATACAGTCGCAGAGCTGCGTAGCCATAATTTGTATGATAATTGAAAAAAAAACTAGCCGAAAAGTATTGTTGCACGCATGGAAAAAGAATCATTCGTCTCCTTCAAGCGTAACAATATGATAGCATAGATATGACCTTTGGGGCCAGGTCGCCAAATGTCAGTGTATTCTGTAGTGGCTCCATGATGCTCGGACCACTTGCGCTGTCAATGCTCATCAAAGTTCTCCTTCTGTTGCGCACGATGGCAATATCCTTGTAACTTTGACTGCAACCTTGACCACAAAGTAATTGTTATCACGCAAGAACTGTAGCTCTGAAATCGCCCAAATACAATAATAATTCTGGCTTTCTGACACGCCGTGATTGAACCAAACCTATGCGTGTGGGCTTGCTCTATTCTAGTGTATATATAGAATGTAACCTGCGCATAAAAACCGTTCTGTGCTGCACATTCAAAACAGACACATCGAAATGCTAATGTTTATTGCGCTGACGAGGCTCATCGTTAGTGGCTATGCAGGTGAGTTTGTGTACCTCTATATACGTTGAAGTTTTCGTTGTTGCACTGTTCCTTGCACACGTAATAATGAAAAAAATTGATTTAATATTGCCACATAAACTTGAGATTTCTTTCTAGAAACAAGGATACTTCTTGCATTCGCATACTAAGTATTAGTTTATCGGGTTCAGTGAAAATTCCAAACGTGCGTGCGTATGCCATTCAGGTGTGTGCGCCAGTCAACCATCATGTAGACAATGCTTATATGCTGGAATGTCTCGTTTTCTTTATATTTCTCCAAGATTCATAATATTTTTATATATCAGCGTGACTTTCATGTTTTTGCGCAAAATTAGGCACTGAGCTGCTGCAAGCATTAACGACTTCATTGAGGAACCGTTCTAAAGGTGCGAACCACCCCGAATGTTCATGTACATGAGGTGTGGTACATGTTCACGTGCGTTCTACCGTCACAACCGGGATTGTGGCTGTGAAGTATTTGTATGCCAGCATAGAAAACACTTCCATGCTAAAATAAATGCACACAAATATCCTCGGTAAGCAGTAAATTATAATTGAGAATAAAATAACGATGCCAGGTCGCCCGATCTTGCCCCTTTTCGAGACGTCGCCATAACATGACCTTGGTGCGTAGAATGAATGAAATCAGCACATTACAAAAAAAAATGTTTTATTGAAAAAAACGTTGGCAGGTATGTACTATTGTTTTTACGCATGAGTTGTTGTGACGGAATATAAACATAGCAAACTGTATTCACTAGTTGAGAAGCGAAACATGTGCTTTAGACATACAGAATTGCCAGCAATGACATAGAATACTAAGACGTTACGTTTTACACCTGAAGCGGTCAATAGATCACAACACGGGTCACCTGCGGCATCGTAGTTTTTCGCCGCCGCCTCCAGTTTCCATACCCACTATCGCACGATAAAAAAACACGAAAATAAAAAACCCCAAGAACACAGTGACATTCAAACCCGGACTCCATACGCGGAAGGCCAGCATACTACCACTGAGCCACACCGGTGCTTTTCCTTTCTTTTGATGCATCAAACAATCACTAGTACTGATAACCTAGGCACAATATACTTCATTGAAATTCATACAAATTCACGCAAGTGTCTATATAGGGAAGTCACGTCGGAGGGGGATCGAAATTGTCAATGACACTGCAACTCGAGCACCTGCTTCTGGGAAGACGGATCTAGTGAACAGTGGTCGCTCGGCGTGTCTAACAATCATGCGACTTTGCCTTAGTGAATGCTGTTACAACAACATAAACAGGTCAAACGAATTATTATTGGTCAGGCTCTTATTGAAACGAAGGAACATACTACCACGAGTTGTGATTGAAATTCTTCTTTTATTGCGATAACAATTATATGGAAAGTCTCGGCTGTGTTTAGCTGCCAGTGTTGACGATCACGTTGACGTTGGCATAACCGTCACTCGCCATCTATGTATACATATATATAAAAATGAAAACGCGAGAAAGGAAAATAATCCAGAAACACTTCTGACATGCGGAATTGTACGTGGGACGTCTGAAAAGTGAGTGCAAGGCCTTAACCACTGATCCATGGAGGAGCATGTCCATGAATGTTCATATGGCCAGCCATTTGCATCTACCACTTCCTTCTGCCAATGGGCATCTCAGGAAGAACTATTGTGTTTTCAGCGTTACCAGCAAGATGACGCAATGAGCACGCATCACCACATCGTCAAGACGCAGCTGTGTGCGCTCTCGTTCCCAGGCGCACTTTTCCACGCGGGGAGGATGTGGTAGACGCTCACTCGTGCGCCCTTACCTCCCGATGGGTAGGATCGTACGTCTTGGCTGGCCTTCGGCCTGGGCTTTCACCGGAACGATTCTGTTGTTGCTGCCTGGCGCACAAAGGTCACAGCAATGATTGTGCAGTCTTTGATTTCGAAAAGAGCGCGCACTTCAGACACAACGAAATAACTACTGAGACGCTTATTCGTGTTCATTTGTACCTGTGCGTCATTTGTACCATTTGTGCGTCATTTGTACCATTTGTACATTTTGTGCGTCATTTGTGCGTGAGAAATGTGGGGCACGTTTTGGTCTACTTGTCATTCTGTGCATGAGCTTCCAATTTGTTGCTATCGCATTCATTGCTTTCGCCTTTGCGGCAAAGCTGAAACTTTCTTTAGAATGCTCTAAAATTATAATGCGTCCAGACAATGAATGAATCAAGGCTAAATAATCTCAGGTTAGCCTACATTTTACTTTACAGGGTGCATATATTAATTTGGGGGGCGAAGCGCCTTAAAGCGGCACCTGTTCGTCCCTCGTCATAGTCGTAGTGCGTAATCAGTCTAACGCTTTGACCTGCAAAGTGGTGCCGGTGGGAGATTTCTCCTGTGTGTTGTTGAACAATAAAAATTCGCAGGTGCGCGTTAACTAAAGTCGAATTACCCTGTTTCTCATTCCCAATTAGCAGCCAGTGCCATGTACATTGAGCTCTATCTGACAAGAAATGGTTGCTAGGTTATACTCGCTGGGCGTAACCTCCTTGGTTTTAGAAAGGTTTAGTGAGCTGTCGGCCGCAGTGCCATGAATACAGTGAACTAGTATACACCATGAACTTGAGGTGGTCAAGGGCGGGAAGTAGACACGAAGCGCAAGCCGTAAAAAAGTGTGCGTGTGCCACCTCTCGTTTAGTCCTTGGAAATCCGCTGGATGGCGGTGCTTCTATATGCGTAATATATGATGAAAACATGCGAGATCCTGGTACTTGGAGTGTTGACTAAATGGACGAACAGGCACACTGACAGATGCAAGGGTGAGCGCACCGATGGCGGCACGGACGGATAGACACATGGACAGACGCAGGGCAGATGCATGAATGAACGCAGGGACAGAGGCAAAGATGTATGTGTGGACGCATGAACAGACGCACGCACCGACGGGCAGATGGACGCACGGATGGTCACACGGACGGACGCATATATGATGGAAAGATGTGAGATGGTGGTATTTGGGGTGTTGACTAGATGGACGAACGGACACACTTACAGATGCATGGACGGACGCACGAATGGCTGCACGGACGGATGGACGCATGGATGAATGGAGTGGCAGATGTGTGGATGAACGAAGGGACGGACACACGGATGGACGCGTGAACACACGTACAGACGCACGCATGGTAGGGCGGATGGACGCACGGATGGTCACACAGATGGACGCATGGACGGACGGAAACAAGAACGAATGGACGAACGGAAGCTTTGCGCCACTCTCCATCATTCACCCTGAGGGTATGCTGCCAATTTTTTTTTCATTCAGCCACGTTTTCACTGACAGAGTGGAAGTGAGCAGTTTAAAGAAAAGCGTTCTCGCTGAAGGAGATGTCCACCTTCTATCTGCACGAAATGATACATTATCGCCAGACAAACGCGAATGTGGAGTCGAGAAACGGGCTGAATAAAGGTTATTCACAGGTGCTGCGGTCAACTTTCCTTCGTCAATAATATACAAATACTTCATACTAAATCTGGCCTCCAAAAAGTGACATTATCAAAAACGTTTTTCACAATATCCTTCCATTGCGATTCCTAGTAGCGCCTCTTGTAACATGAATAAAAGAAAGGTGGTAACACAGACGCTTGCGAAGAACCACTTAGACAAATAGAGAAGCCAACATCTTTCAGATAAAAAGTCGTTACATCAACTGTCGCACAAACAAATAAACCAGGCCGAGGCCCACCTCTTAAAGCTGAAGGAAATGGTTGTTTGATCTCACGGGTTACCAAGTAGAGCCGTTCTTTGGAACTTGTTTGGTGATTATGCTTAGGAACGCTTGATCTTTGGAAAGGACTCGCGTTAGTATGGGTAATGAAGCGTTTTGGAACAGCAAAGATGAAACCTGATGTCACACAATGCGGTTCGCTAAACAAGTGAGTCGTTCAATGTCTCAAGTCGTTACAAAAAGCTTATTCTTAATGACCTATTAATTCTAGTGCATACCCACTTAAGGCATAATTCTTCGTTGTCGTCAGCAACTGCATGAAAATTTGAACAAAATGTTTTCCAATTGTGTAGCAGATGTCATACTTCTCCAAAGAATGACGAAAGATTTCATAGTTAATGCCGGCCTGCTACACAGCATTTATGATCATTTATGTCATAGTGGACACCCACGAAATGTACTTGTTGCAGTTTTCCTTGATGGGTTGATACCATTGATATGTGGGGTTTAGCGTCTCAAAAATACCGTATCATTATGACAAACGCCGTAGTGGAGGGCTCCGGAAATTTCGACCACCTGGGGTGCTTCAACGTGCACCCAAATCTGAGCGAACGGGCCTACATTATTTTCGCCTCCATCTGAAATGCAATCACATCATCCACGATTCGATCCCATGACCTTCGGGTCAGCATGTGGCAGTTTGTTTTCTAAAAATGTGTAGAAAAAGCTCTGAATGAACCCTTTTACAGCTTTTGTTTTGACTGCGCTGCGCATTGCGCGCATTCCTGGTATTTCTTCACGTAAAACTACATTGCTTAAAATGTCGCAAGGTAAAACTATTGACAATTTGCCATCTCAGCAACTTGGGATACATGAAACGAAGAAGAACATGAAAAGTACGTTCAATATTTACTACATATAATTGGAAACAACAGAGTCGCAACAACGTAACAGCGAGATGATGCAAATAATAAAGAAAAAAAGAACTATCAATAAGAATCTTTTGCATCGCACGTCAAGTTATCGAACAAGAAATTACGCTTAGCCTATGAACGCAAAGTTAAAAATAATGCGACATAAACGTCCACCCTAAGCACGCAGTACAGAATAGAACTTTCGCTTATGTGTTTTTCTTAATTGAGAAAATAACTTTATAATCACAAACGGCATATGCCAACATTGTGTGGCACTTTCTACATGGAGCAGACTGTCCTTTTTGTGCACATCGACCACCTGTGTGGGAATGTAAGCAAGCAACATGAAAGCAACTAAAAAAAAGCAAT